ACCCGGTCTGTCCTACTATTTACCCATAACTGGGGGGGGGAAGAGGATTCATATCTTTCCCAAGAGTATTATCACGTAAGTGAATGTAATGGATTCGACTGGAATTCGAACTCGGCTCTCCGATTCCTCAATCTGAGCCGCTCTCCATTACTCCACCGAGCGATCCCAAATGGAATTGAAACTCGGCTCCTATTCTTAGTCATAATCCATTACACCAACTGCACATCCAAGCTTACAGCACCTGCTCTTTCCAAGCGGTCACCCATTTAGGTACTGACCAGTTCGACATTGCTTAACTTATGTAATCTTCCGCACACTGTTGTTTCAAGGTCGAATTTTTCTGCATATAATAAATCATAATAGTGATGACCAACGCTTTTTGATAATAGTTCTTCCTGAGAACATAAATTTTTCAAAGAGATATCTTTCCAGATGTTCAAAATTGATTCTCTCCGATAACCACGGCTCATATTTTATTTTTATGACACTTTTCACTTATTACCCTATCTTAGTCTCTTAAACATTCTCCAGTGTACCGATCAGTAGTGTCACAGAAAATCGATTATAGCAATGGACATTCAAAATTGAAATATTCTTTGACAACCTTACATATGTGAAATGCCAACCATCGCCGGCTCCCAAGTGATTAATGTTCTTCTCTCGGTTGATATTTTAAAGTTTACCCCCATGTTACGAGATAAGGCAGTGAATGGAAAATTACTGCTGGGGAATGGCTTCTCGTGGTTGCTTCAGATCTATGAAATAATAAATTAAGATTGGCGGAAAAAAAGAAGGGAAACTCTATTTATGTGGGCAGACCAGAAGATACAATGCTGAGGAGAATGCGCTCTGTAAATCAGGCACATCCGCGCAGACTTTCGCTCCAGTATTGTTTCATCATAAAAAATAAATAAGTGGCCTCCATCAGCAAGAAGAATAAAGAAAACTTGTTTTAATAGACAGAGTTTGGTTTGTTATTCTAATGAGTGTTAAAGATTAGTTTTATTGACATGTATTTTTGTCCACGACCCTCTATGTCTGCTGTACTCGTGACGCTGGCATTTGCATTCTGAAAACCTGGCAGCTACCTCGATAACGTAGTGGCGCAACATAGGTTTGGTACAAGGTCACAATAATGGAGGAACTATTTACTTGGTAGTCCCTGAGCTAAGTGGAAAATAAACTATTACTTTACTCATAAAATCTAAATAAATAAATGGTAAATTATGTCTGTCCGTCTGTGTGTCTGAAACCCTCGCTAACTCGGGCAACACTTGCTATACATAGAAGTATTGTTCTTTTGTGAAATCAGGATTATCCCGGAATTACAAATGTGCTTTTCATCTGGTGCTTAAATATCCAGTGTATGGATTTATTTCCGGGTGAGGAGGGAATAGTTAAATATTCAGATTTTAAAACAAATAAAAAAAAAATAGTTATTTTAAAGTTTTTAATTTACATTGAGTAACACAAAAACTTTGTGAATTTTTAAGTTTTTGTTTTAAATTAAATTTAAAATATTTCCAAAACTTTGTGAATTGAGAAATCAATTTTATTGTTTTCAAAATGCCAACGAGTCACAGTTAACGTGAAATGTTTTTTTGAAGTTCCACGGAGTTTTTGATTTGAAACACTCCACTCAATTGAAGTTCCGCAGAGTTTGTGATTTCAAGAACTCAACTCAGTTGAAGTTCCACGGAGATTGTGATTTCAAGAACTCAATTTTCGGCTTGGGCTGCAATTTCGGCCCAAACTGGACTTTCGGAACAAATCGTTCTTTTGATGGGAATTGGACTTGGACCGTGAATCAGAGTCAAAGTGATGTTTTAAAGTTCCATGGAGTGAGTTGAGGTATTCAAAGTTATTTCATCATAATTATAATAGCTGTTTTCTAATCTGGACCAGAGATACTTTTAGTTTTGACGCAGAGGCCTATCTAACGCTCCGCAGTAGCGCTCTTAAAAGTTTGCACGATGTCCGGCTATTGAGCTAGTATATTATATAACAAATATTCTTGGTTTTAACAGCAGTAGAGTCATATATCTCAAGAAACTGAGTATAACTGCGCATGTGCGAACTAGGATTTATTTTAGCGACTATCAGTCTGTAATTGCATATATATCCCTCACTCTATCTGTCTGCCTCTCAATCTCTCCCTTTCCTTTCTTTTCTCTCTCTCTCTCTCTCTCTCTCTCTCTCTCTCTGCATCTTCCAAGCATTATTGAAACATTATATCTTAACAATTACAAACATTTACGCTTTACTGAAATCAATTCAGATCCATGTTCTTTGGCCAAACGTGTTGCATTTAACAATTTTCTATGTGACTTTAAAGCAATCAATTTGTTTACGTACAATGGCTCCTTTAGATTCGATTTGAATAACAAAGGCGCACAGCGAACAATGTTCAAGCGCTAGTTTCTCAGCAATTAAGAGAGGAAGATGGGTTCAGAGCGCAGTTTGAGGCACCATTGTTGTCGAATTGTCCCCTTTGTACTGAAACGTATGTAAAAGTGAAGCTTCCTTAAAACATTTTCGAGGAAATGCACTGGAAGATGGATTTAAACGTGTTAATTGAATAGATGGATATTCAGTGTTGCGATGGTGGCTCTTCAGGGACGGAATGAATCGGGAAATCACGAAACATTGCGGAAGTTCTAAAATAAAAAAAAGTTGTGCTGGAAGCGATAACAATGTTCTTCGAATAAAGGAAGATAAGCAGGAAGAATGGTTTCTGAAGGAGGAGGGAATATTGACGAGGGTTTGAGATGAATTTAGGAAAAAGAATGAAGCGAGAAAAACAATCCAAAATAAAACAACAGCGAATTACAAGAATGGAATCGAAAACTCAATCTGGGACGCATTAGAACAAAAAGAAAAAAACAAAAAAATAATTATTCGAAATAAGAAAAAATAAATTAGGGAATGATAAACAAAGAGTTAAAAAGCTGTGAATGAAAGAACAGGAATTGAAGGAATATATATATCATTTTAACGCATCATATTGTAATTTTAATGAACTAACAACATAGGTTGTAATGAAACTGTATCTCATTCTCCCACAACGTCGACAGTTTTGTTTCTTTATGGGTCATTTCATTTATATTTGAAATAAAAAAAAAAGTTATTCTGCTTCTACAACTGAATACATGATAGATGTTAATCAGATTTTGTGGGTATACATGTTTGTAAGAACATAATTACTACCGGCAGAGATATGTGTGTTTTGTCGAGGTTATATTTTGGAATAAAGTTTAATTTCTTTAAGAAATTGTAAGATATTTTATAGATTAATATCATGAAAGAATTCTTTAATGTTATTTGTTGATTTTGTTTGGTGGCGTATCAAGATCTATGGGTTATTTAATGTCGAAACCTAAATATTTTAAACAAAATTTTATGCTATGATTATTTGAAAATTCTTGTCGCTTATTTGTATTTAAACATTAGCTTTTAAAACTGAAAAAAAAAGAACTGTATAACTAAGTTACTCCAAGGTCAGAGTTAGAAGAAATAAGGATAGGTAGATAGTGTTATTTTAATCATCCAAGTAGAAATGATCGGTAAAATCAACAGGTGAAATCCTTGTTTTTACATGCGTTCGATCTCTAGCCCAAACAGGAAAAAAAACTAATAAACTTGCTTCTAATAATGATTTGTCCATGAAGAGTATTCTCAATTTGAGGCAGTTAATAACTCGTGTTTGAAATACCGATTCTCGCTTAATCACTGAAGTGTAAGCCTGTCAATGTATAGAGTGCGTGAACGCTTGGGAATACCAGGGTTTGTAAGCTTAGATGTGCAGTTCTTGTTGTTCTTGTAACGGCATTCACCCGGGGTGGGTTGAGCTGGCTCCAATATTGAAGTTTCATGGGAATTTGGAAGCCTGCAGTATAGCACGTGACATTTGATTATAGTGGTGAAGGTTTCGTGCAGGACCATCTACACTTTTTGAAGGGCTGATTACAGAGACCTGGTGCACTACGTGCCACAAGATCCCCAAACGACCCTCCGCTGGTTTTGAATTCAGAGTTTTTTTTCTCCTATAGAATCCAGTCTGACCTGCTATTTACCCATAGCTGGAGGGAGAAGAAGACGATCCACACCTTTCCCAAGGGTATTAGCACGTAAGTGAATATAATGGATTCGACTGGAATTCGAACTCGGCTCTCCGATTCCTCAATCCAAGCCGCTATCCATTATTCCACCGTGCCTTCTTTAGATGTGCAGGTGAGGTAATGAGAAATCATAGAGCAGAGTTTGAATTCCAATCGGGTCCGTTACATTCACTTATGCGTATATATCCCTAGGTGATCCTGAATTGAAAAGATATATGATCGCCCAATTGTGTTATATCCACCGCTTGCTAAAATATATTTGACCAACGTCGTAGGATAATGAACCATTCCTTTCCGGGATCTGAGGAAGGGTCCAACAAAAGGACTTCACGAGCTGAGAATAAAAAGATTGCGTTAGTAATTCAAGTTAAAATCAGCAAGTGAAATCCTTGTTATTGTGTGTGTGTGTGTGTGTGTGTGTGTGTGTGTGTGATGCGGCATTCACCCTGGGCGGATTGAGCCGGCTTCTTCCTGTTGAGAAGAAGATTCTTGGGATAAATTACAGAAGTAGGGTACCCAGGCCTACTCGGATAACGTTCTTGCTTGCCGCGGGGTTCCCATAGACGCAGAGACAGGAACGACCAGAAGCCGCCGGTTACCGATGCAGACGCTCCTTGGATTTTCACCAGAGCCCTTGTTAGCCGGCGTGTGTGTCAGACCTATCCGCCTTAGTTGGCCCTACCAGGAACGAAGTTCCGGACGGCATAGCTCTGACACTACCGTTTACACCCCCCCACCGACTGTTATTACATACATTCGATCTATGGTCCAAACAGGATAAACCTAATTAACACACTTATAATACAACGTGTGCGATGGGTAAATTGTCGCCATTTTATATTTTTGATTTCGCGCATGCGCGTTGTTTGTTTTTATTTTGTCGTCTAGTATAGTAGGGACAGTTAGGCACCGTCTGTGAGAAAAAGAGCACCATAACGCCATTCATTCCGCCGGAAATGTGGAAACAGCATGCTGTACTGTTTGACATTAGCGACGGAAACTCCAATACGAACATTTCAGTGTTTGGCTGCCAATCTGAGAACAGAGCAGAAGATTTGGAAAGAGATGGATGATATATCCAGTCTACATCATGGTGTTTGGATTGATCACTAGTGATGGTGATGTTATGCTGCCATTCATTTTTCACCAGGTTCTCAGTGCCTTGAGAAGGTAGTGCTACCCTGGCTCAAAAGAGCGGCTGATGGAAGAGCATGTGTCTGGTAACAGGACTCCACATCATGTGTCACAAGCAAAAGAACACAGTTATGGCTGTTAGACAATTTCTGCGACCACATCACCTCTTAATTCCAAAGACTGCAAACATCTTGATTATTATGCGTAGGCCGCGGTTGATCACGAGACCAACAAAACTACTTGTAAGACCAAAGATGAATTGAAGGCAAGGATTATGGCAGCATTCACCAATTTAAATATTAGACCGTGCAGAACAGTTGCAGGAGATTTTTAAGTCGTCTGGAGGCCGTAGTTGAAGTCAATGGCTTTTTTTTATTGGATAAATCGTTTCTTTATTATTTCAAGATATTTTGTTTTTGTAATTTTGGTAAATATATCTGTTAAAATGAGATATCAGTGATATTTTCATTTCTGCATAATTTAAACGATTTATCCATCACATTTGAGCCAGGTGATAATATGCACTCATTCACTCACACAAAGGTACCTATACGCACATACACGGACACACACAATCTCAGTCTCTCTCTCTCTCTCTCTCTCTCTCTCTATATATATATATATATATATATATATATCTTGATTCACTGTGGTCTTCCACTGTGTGCTTGTCGAACTCTCTGCCTTCGGGCAGAGAGGAACTCAGAGAAGGCCATGAAGAAGGGTAGAGTCTTATCTGGATGAGGTAAAAAGCTAACCTACCCGTGTAAACGGGGTCTACGGGGAATTTTTCCCTAGCCTATGGGCTCGGTTCACCACACATTAAATTCGGGGCTTTGTGCCACATCTGACCGCGTGGGGAGGTTAGTGAATATCTTCTCTTTCTGTCTCTGTCTGTCCCTCTCGTCTTCTTTCGAGACGTGATTGGTGAGAGTTCTTCACGGCTTCACACTCAACGCAATACTTTCTCCTATTTCTTTGTCCCAATTATCGCACCATCCATCGGCTCAAATTTGTTAAGTCAGCTTTCTTATATCCTTTTCTTTTATTGCCCCCAATCTGAACACTGTGGATTGAACTTGTCCGGGCTTTCTCTCTTCCTTATGTGTCTTTCTGTGACTGTAACTGGTTTCTTTTTCGTTCCCATTTTCTTTCCAACTTTCACATTAGTCGCTTGCTCAGTCCATTATATATTCAACGCTCATCGATACGATCACATCTCGTGTTATCCCTTTTATTTTCTGCCCTCAAATTAAACTGTGTGAAATCGAACAACAGCCATGCATAAAGCAGAGACTGATACATGAATCTTATGCCACGGTTAAATGTAATAATCAACTTGGTAAATGAGAATAATTCTGAACTTGAATTAAACCACGAGATATTGATTATCCAACACCAGTTTGAAACAAATTGGTTAATAGGTTGAAAATAGGCAATTTGATTAACGCTTTTCTTTGTAAAAAGAAATTATTTCTGTTACATAAACGTCTGTTTAATTTTAGCTTCGACGAGTTTTTCAATAAAAGCATTCGTCATCAAAAAATTTATATATTTTTGGTGGTTACCAATTTCTTTCTATTGCACTTATTTCGAGGTTTTTCATTAGTCTTATGTTCCAGCAATATTTTCAACATACAATTATTTCGCTATAACCACACCTCATTTTTTCCCTGAAGACTTGTTAAGATTCATATCCACTGATGCGCAATAAAACGCTATTTACGAATATATTGCTAAGGTTTAAGGTTTTGATATTTTCTGCTAGAGTCTTCTCCTTCCATATGGATTGATGAAACCGAAGAAAAGGTACGCTGAAACATACTGGACGCAAGAGCACCGGCATATACAGAGTATACCAAAGGCCAGGAAGGGGTTTAAAAGTTTAATAACTTTTTTTTTTTTTTTAGTTTTCTTTCAAATATTCTATAAAGCAAGTTTTTGAAATTAATGATCTAAAAATATTTTACTGA